ACAGCTGGTTTTTACTGAATGTTTCACTTTTGCACCATTGTAAAGTTGGAAAATTGCAAGTTGAACCACCATAAAGTCAGAAACCATCTGCATACACATTTTTTGTTGTCAAAAATAAACTTAAACATTAAAAATTGTTTCTGGGTTGTGGTACAGGGAGAAGGATTGCCTAAGTCAAGGAGACAGAGCTGAGGGTCCAGAGAGACTGAGGCAGCTGGAATCAAATAGTCAGAATATGAAAGAGGTTTGCCTGAGGGCCCCTGGGCGGTTGTCAGTGTGGGTCAGTACGGGTCAGTGCGTGCGTGCCAGGCAATGACTTAAGACTGAGGAAAGATAAGGTAAGTGTTGAAGGGGAAAGGACCTGTTCCCACCAGCCAGCATGAAAAAGTTTATAATTCCTGTGGCATTGGGGAAGGCGTTCGGAAAGGTCCTGCTTCAGTGGTAGAGAATAATTACCCGAGACCAAACACTATTTCAGACCTGCCTAATGAATCATGAAAGCAAGGCTCGAACAAATTAAACTATTTCCAAATAACTTACAGCATTGCAGAACAAAGCTCAGGAAGAGTTATAGTATTATAAAAATATCACCCTGGCTGGTGTGGCTCAGTGGGTTGAGTGCTGGCCTGTGAACCTAAGGGTTGCACGGCCCAGTCAGGGCACATGCCAGGGTTGCGGGCCAGGTCCCCAGCAAGGGGCACGTGAGAGGCAACCACACACTGATGTTTCTCTCCCTGTCTTTCTCCCTGCCATCTTCTCTCTCTAGAAATAAATAAAATCTTTGTTAAAAATCAAGCAGCTAGTATCAATATAAAAGTATTTTTAAACGTATTATTGATTTTAGAAAGAGGAAGGGGGCAGGCAGGAGAGGAATAGGGAGAGAAAGAAACATTGTTTTGTTGTTGCACTTATTTATACATTCATTCACTGATTCTTCTGTGTGCCCTGACTCAGCATCAAGCCCACAACCTTGGCATATTGGGACGACACTCTGAACAACTGAGCTACCAGGCCACAGCACATAAAAATATTGAGACAGTTAAACTCAAAATGTCTGGTAAACAAAGAGGAAGGAAAACGTAACCAGTGATGAGCACAATTAATCAAAACCAACCCAGAGTTGATACAGTTGTTAGAATTAGCAGAGAAGTCCATCAGAACATAGTGTAATTGTATTACACATGTACAGAAAGGTAGGTAGATATTTTAAAATACCCAAATCAAACTTCTGGAGATGAAAACAATATCTGAGATTAAAACAACACGCTGGATGGAATTATCAAGTAGAAATTGCAGAAGAAAAGACTGACGAAGTTGAAGGCATAACAATAGAAACTGTACAAAATGAAATAAAGAGAAAAAAATGTTAATGAAAAGAGTATTCTTGAGCTATCAGACATCACACAGCAACCTCCAGTGGCCTAATGCGTGGGTAACTGGAGTCGCTGAAAGGAGAAGAAAGTGGGGGACAGGAAAATACTTGAAGAAAGAAGGGCCAAAATTTTTTCATGCTTCAAAAGAAAACTACAACCCACAGATTTGAGAAGCTCTATGACCTCCAGGCACAAGAAACATGAAGAAAACAATACCAAGGCACTTCATAATCAGATTGCTCAAAACCAGTGATAAAATTGAAAATCTAAAAAGCAGCCAGGGAAAGAAGGGGCAGGGCCCAGATATGTTCTGTGCACAGGAACAAAGAGAAGGATGGACATCAGATTTCTCATTTACTACAGAACAAGTGACAAGACAATGGAACAGCAGCTTGACAGCACAGAAGGAAAAACTGGCAGCGTAGCATGCCATAGCAAAAACACCTTCCAGACATGACGACAAGGTAAATGTGTATTCGGACACACAACACCTGGCAGAATTCATCGCCAACTGACTTGCACTACGAGAAATGTCGAAGGACATGCGTACTTAAAAATGGTGTCAGTTGCAAGTCCGGAGCTGCACAAAGGAGTGAAGATCAAGAAATGGTATTACGTTGATAAACATAAAAGACTTTTTTCTTATTTAACACTGTTTAAAAATAATTGTATAAACAAAAATAAAATCATGGAGTTTATATTGTAACAGGTAAAATGCATGGCAGTAGTAGTACAGAGGTTAAGAGGGAAAAATAAACGTAACTATTGTAAAGTTTTCAACTGTATGTGAAGTAATATACTGTAACTTGAAGGTAGACTGGGTTAAAAATGTAAGTTGTGAACTTTGTAACAATCACTTGAAATTAAGAGTTATAACTAATGACAACAAAGATGATAACAGATTCATAAAAAATTCTGTGTCAATATCAAAAAAGCAGATAAATGGGAACCTCAAAAAATATACAAATACAAAACAAATAGCAACACTATAGCATCAAACCTAATCGTAGCAGTAATTTCATAAATGGGCTTAAACATCCCCTGATTAAAAGGTGGCAATTTTCAGATTCAATTAAAAAGCAAGATTCATCCCTGATTCGGTGTCAGTTGGTTGGAGGGTTTTCCCATACGCTAAAAGGTTGCTGATTCGGTCCCCAGTCAGGGGATGTATGAGAGGCAACTGGGTGATGTTTCTCTCTCTTTCCACCCCCCCTTCCCCCAGCCCAGAGCAATAAATATATCCCCAGGTGAGGATTTTTTTTTAAAGCAAGATCCAATTACATACTATAGATACAAAGCCAGAAAAAAAGACAAAGTGAAAGATTGGGGAAAGATAACCAAGCTTATACTCATGAAAAGAAAGCTGGAATGGCTGTATTAATATCAGACAAAGCAACTGCCAGAGCAAGAGATACTACTACAAAGAAGGTTTTTCATAATGATACAGGGATCAATTAAGGAACAAGATATAATAATCCCAAGTGTTATGCATCTATTAAAAGATCTTCAGAATGCTTGAGACAAAAGCTGATGCAACTTCAAAGAGAAATAAATTCACAAATGTAGCTGAAGATTTTAGTTTCCCCCTCTCAATACAAATGAAAATCAGCAATGATATAATAATGGTTTGAACGAATCCAAAGTCATAAAGATTTGCCTCTGTTTTCATGTAAGAGTTGTATAGTTTTATCTCTTGAAGTATTTAAATTCAAATTAGTTAAAATTAAATAACGTAGAATTCAGTGCCTCAGTCGTATTCCCCCCTTTTTTGAGTGTTCATGCGGCTAATGTCTACCACACTGGTCACTGCAGATACAGAGCGTTTCCATCATCACAGGAAGGTCTTTTCACCATGCGGACGGACGCCCACAAACCCCTCCTCTAAAGGAATGTCGGAAATGCACCCAGGATTTGAACAGGTCGTTCACAAGAGAGAAAGAGAGAGAGAGAGAGAGAGAAAAGAGTTCTTTCCTATCTTGCAAGATGACGTGTGAAAAAACCTAGAAGCCAGGTACGAAGGAGAAGAAACCCCAAGCCAAGAAGGCTGATGCTGGTGGAAGGTTAAGAAGGGGAAGCTCCAGGCCAAGACGCCTAAGAAGGGGAAGCCACACTGCAGCCGAAACCCTGTCCTCCTCAGAGGAGCTGGCAGGTATTCCCGAAGGGCCAGGTATGAGAGGAAGTATTCCACAGCTAAATCCAGGATTGAAAAGAAAAAGGAAAGTGTTCTTGCTGCTGTTACAAAACCACCTGGTAGTTACAAAGAATGTTGGTGCCCAAGTGGTTAAAACTCTGCAAAATGCCTACTCACTCTCCTACTGAAGACTGCCTCAGAAGCAGCTGAGCTGTGGCAGGAAGCCCTCAGTCAGCATGTGGGGAACTGCGGGCCAGCATCTCTCCAGGAGAATGGAGGACCATTCTCGCCTCGTCCTCCCTGGTGTTCCCGAAGGAGCCGAACAGTGCCTTGTTGCTTGTGACTGGACCTCTGTACCTTCATCGAGTTCCTCCACATAGCTAGAACACATCAGAAATTTGTCATTGCCATCTCCTCCAAATTTGGTATCAGTGGTGTGAAAGTCCCCAAGCATCTCACTGATGCTCACTTTAGCAGCAGCAGCAGCTGCTCGAGCCCGGACGCCAGGAGGGGGAGATCTGGACACGGAGGAAGAGAAACACGAGATTACAGAACGGCGCAAGGGTGATCAGAAGGCTGTGGACTCACAAATTCTGCCGAAAATCGAAGCTGTTCCTCAGCTCCAGGGCTACTTCCATGCCATTTGCTCTCACAAATGGGCTTTGTCTTGTCAAACTGGTGTTCTAAATTTCTTACAAAAAACCTGATTAACTGATTTGTTATATAAATAAGTAGGCAAATTCATGTTCATAAAATTGTTCTGAGTGGAAGAATTCTGAATTGAAACAGCATTTTTAGTCCTCCAGCTTGACAATAACGACTTCCTTCAGGTCTTAACTCAAAAGTCACACCAGGGAGGCCTTCCCTGCCCACCCTATTTAAAATTTCAAACCTAATCGCATTTCCTGCCCTCTTCCCCTAGCTCTTTCTATTAATAAGCCATATATTTAACTTACTTTTCTTGTTTATGGTCAGTCTTCCTCTTTTTCAATGTAAGGTCTGTTTTATTCACTATTCATGGCCTCTCCCAGACCTGGAACAGTCTAGATAGGGTAGAAATGCAGATACATACTTGTTGGATGAAGGCTGGCAGGGGTGCAGACAAACAGGTACTTTCCATGTACTGCTCTCAGAGCGAATTGGTCCAGCCCTTCTGGAAGTAGTTGTGCAGTATGTAATAGTCTCAAAATTGTGCTTGCCCTTTGACCCAGCATTTCTCCTTCTAGGTATTTATAACATAAGGAAGTAATTAAGGATGTGCTGGAAGATTCAGCCACAGTGGAGCGCTTTTAAAACTCTCGAACTTGGACATATTGGAAGGAATGTAGGTTGTTTTTTGAAATGTGGCAAGAACTGTTTTGCAGAGTTGTTCAAAAATGACCTCGTTTCTCTCCTGATACCTTAGCATTTTAAAATACTATTTTGTTACTGACTTTTCTAACTAACTTTTTTCTTAAGCAAAACTAAAACTTAACCTATATGATTTTTTTCCACAGGTCCCTTAATATGGATTTTGAAAATCAAGATAAAGAGAAAGACAGTAGCAGTTCTTCCGGGTCTTTCAATGGCAACAGCAGCAATAACAGTAAGGCACTTCATGTCAGTTAACTTCCATACCTGTAATTGTTACAATTTCACTCTTTCTATAACCGCAGTTAATTCTCTGGGTTCAAAATTTATGTCGTGTAACAGAATCTAATCTGTCCGGTACAATTTGTTATGTTCTTTGTTTTGAATCTGAACTACTGATTCCTTGTGTACTGCTTTTAACTCATGCCTTAAAAGCTGGCTACTGAGGGTTCTTTATCTTCTTAAAGATAAGCAAGATAGATGAGTATCTGCCGGTTTATAACTTCATTTAAATTCTTTGTTGAGGCTGATCATTTTATATGTGTTGATCATCAATTCACTCAGTGACTCTTAAAGATAACTGCTTGAAGTACTCGCAAAACTAAATACTGTCTCTTCTGATATTTAGAATTTACAAGAACACATGTTTAAAAAACAAAAGTGTGCTATATGGCAAATATTCAGCAGCAGCATTCCTAATAGCCAAAAATAGAAGCAACTGAAAGATCCATAAGCTAGTGAACAAATAAACAAATACAGTCTATCTATATATGGAATGCTCTTCAGCATTAAAAAGAATGAAATACATGCTACGACATGGATGAACCTTAAAATACTGTGTTAAGTAAAAGAAGGCAGACTGGAAAGAATACATGTTGTATGAATCCATTTATGGGAAATTTCCAAAAAGGTAAATATATATAGAGAGAGAGGAATTAGTGGTTGCCTGGGCCTAGGGATAGGAAGAAGAATTAACTGTAAACTGGCATGAGGGAATCTTTTTCAGGTGATGGCTTCACACTTGGTAAATTTGCCACCAAAAAATTATTGAATTATCCACTTAAAATGGGTGAATTTTATAAATTGTACCTCGATGTAGTTATAAAAAATTGGTAATGCTTATTATAAAAAGAGAATTAAATTAGAAACGAGAATTGCTTTGAATTAAGAGATTGATATTGGAAACTTAACATGCATGGGGCAATCTATTAGGTATATTGAAAGATGCAGAAGTAAGTGCAAGAGCTGGTTCCCAAGCTATCACGTGGGCAGTGTGACCAAAATGCGTTCCAAGGTGTTCATAAAATGCTAAGACAGACATAAAAAATACCACTTGCCATCCTATTCCTACAGGAGATACTTTAACATGGCCTCAGAATCCTTCTGAACAGCATCTCCTATCAGTAGGTCAGAGTTAGCACTAGAGATGAAGTCATTTCGACAGCCATGTACGGAGAGTAAAGAGAAAGGCAGGTGGGGGTGAGCAGCAGAGGGTCGGGTTAGTAAGGGACTTTGTTTCCTAGAGAAGGTTGAGTTTGACTTGAGACAGTGAACTTGGATTGGTGGAGAATTCGGCATTCCAGGTGGGAAGAATGTAGTAACAGACACAGCGGGGAGAACGAGCATGACTTACAGAGTTAGCATCCCCACTGAACAGGGAGGAAATATTAGGGGTCTGATGTGAAATTAGAGAGAATATCATGGAGGATCTTGGAAGTTAAATTGGTGATCGCTTAATAATGTTTCGTTTTCTGTGTAGTTATTATATTATCCCATCAATGAAATTGTACTTGCCTAGCTTTCACCCCGTTAAATGTGTTGTCTCCAGCAGTGTGAGTGGACATGATAAATACAGTAAGTAGAATCAGTTAAATATGAGTTTTTTCTTAAGCTTACAACATGGACTCTTATATGAGGTAACATGTTATACCATTGGATTGATTACCAGCACCAGGTAAAACCCGGTGTCAGGATCTGATACTCAGGTTAAATTATTGCATAGCAGTTTACCATCTATCAACATTTTAAGCCAACTCACTTTATACTCTTAAAAAAAAGATTTTATTTATTTATTTTTAGAGAGAAGGGAATACAGGGAGAAACATCAGTGTGTGAGAGAAACACACTGATCTGCTGCCTCCCACACGCCCCCAACCAGGGACCAGGTCCACAACCCAGGCTTGTGCCCCGACCAGGAATTAAACCTGCACCTTTCGGTGTGCGGGGTGAAGCTCAGCCCACTGAGCCACACCAGTCAGGGCAAATCACTTTATATTTATATTCTTGAAGCCCCTTTAAAAGTTCTGTGTTATATAGTATGTACACAAATGATGTAGTTAAACCAGATTATAAACCTGTTACATAAATTGCATCTTAGAAACTGAAGAGAAATACAAATAAGTACAGTTTTATCCTCAAATAAGTGGTTGAGTCAGTCCATGAAGCAGAAAGAAGTTACCTGGAATGTCACTTTTTTTTTTTTTTTTAAATCTTTAGAGAGGAAAGGAAGGAGAGAAATATCAATGTATGGTTGCCTCTCGTGAGTTCCCTGCTGGGAACTGGCCCGCAACCCAGGCATGAGCTCTGACTGGGAATCAAACTGGGATCATGTGGTTCACAGGCCTGCGCTCAATCCACGGAGCTACACCAGACAGGGCTCTGGAATGTCACTTTTTAAATTTCATTCTTAATCAGTGTCTAAAGAATAGTTGTCCTATGGGACGGAGTGGGTGGGTGGGCTGGGATGGGAGTAAAAGACAGAAAACTGTGCTTGAGTAGTTACAAACAATAAATTTTTTTAAAAAAAGTTCTGACTGGTGTGGATTGAGCACTGGCCTGCAAATGGAAGGGTCACTAGTTTGATTCCCAGTCAGGGCACATGCCTAGGTTTTGGGCCAGGTCCCCAGTTGGGGGGCAAGAGGCAACCTATCTATGTATCTCTCATACATTAGTGTTTCTCTTCCTCTCTTTTCCTCTCACTAAAAATAAATAAATTTTAAATAGAGTAGTGTGTGATTATTTAAATGGTTATTTTCTAAAATCTCCCTCCCATCCTTGCTGAATTATCCTCAACAAATATATTTCTTCAGTGCCTAATCTGGGCCACGGATACCAAAAAGATAAGCACAGATTAGGCTAGAATGCAGTTCACTCCCATATAAGCAGGATCAACATAACGAAAGGAAAGGCCACCTTTGCAGAGAAGGTCAGGACTTGATTATGGAGCAAGACACCATTCCAGATTGAAGGGATGGCATGGAGAAGGGGATGCATTTATCAAAAATCAAAGAAATAATAGCCTGAAAGATGGACAGAGAAATACAAGAGATTATGTAGTTGCTAAAGAGATTGACGTCCTCGACGGTCACATTGTGGGGATGGGGGAAAGTTCTAAGAAAAGGGAGGTATGAGTTTAGTGTTAAGATTTTGGTGAGAATGTTTTGACCTGATTGAAGGAGAAAGTGAGTAGGAGAGATCTCTCTCAGAGGTTGCAGTTGCCTGTTCCCACAATAAATAAGAATCAGGACATGAAACCGAGTGCACTACAGCTGTGCGCAACGGCATATTGAGTGAAAGAAGCCAGACAGAAAAAAAACAAATATTACAATTTCATGTGTATTGTAAGTTTAAAAAAACAGGCACAATAAACATATTAGTATTTAAAAGTGTGTACTCAGGTAGAAAACAAAGTAAAGCAAAGAAGAAAGTATCCTAAAAGGCAGCTAACCCTTTGGAGCAGGGCATGGACCGGTACTGGTCCGGGCTTGTCAGGAATGGGGCCGCACAGCAGGAGGTGAGCTTGAATGTAATGCATCTGAATCATGGCAGAACCATCCACCCACAGCCACCCCGTCCGTGGAAAAATTGTCTCCCATGAAAACTGGTCCCTGGTGCCAAAAAGGTTGGGGGGGACCACCGCTTTGGAAGCAAGAGAGGAAGTGGTGACTGGGAGGGACGTATCAGGGACTTGAGGTTGGTAAGGTTCTGTTTCTCGACCTGGGCGGTGTTGTCTGTGTCCTGACTCACTGTGCTCTGCACTTCCGGTTCGGGCACTTCTCCGCAGGTGTGAAATGTCTCCCAGTGGAAAGAGTTCGGATGGGGTGGGGTCCCTTCCAGTCCTCTTTGATTTTCTCTAATCTTGCTGTGACTTCCGTTTCATCACTACATCTGCCCCAAGAAGTCCACATACAGAGATTTTAACCCTGGCATATCAGTCCTTCATTTAATTTAAGTGGTTTTGTTAAAGCTCCCCCACTCCCCATTACATAACATTTGGAAGTCCTTTACTGCGTTTCCCATATAATTTATTTGAACTGCGAAGATTGATGGAGATACACAGTTGAAGTTCTCTTTATTAATAGAGATACAGTATATACATCTTTATGTCCCCACCTAGATTCTAAACTTTGTAAGATCTGGCAGTGACTTTTAAAAACTCCTCATGTTGCCAACTAGGTGTTCAGTCAAATAATATTTAGTTAAGGGCATCCTTCTCTCATGAGGGTACAAAATCAGTAACTTTAACAATTATCAGCAACACTGGTGTATTGCCCAATGTCTGTTTCATGGCCAGACATATGATTAGCCTGTAGCCATGTTCCATGAATGCTGAAAATAATGTCTCCATACATAATTTTTAATTGTCGTGATGCCTTCTCCTTATGTTGATTTTGGCTTTAAAGATCATGCAGCTGCACTTAAACTCTCCCAGTTATGGCTGCTCTGTTTGCTTTGCTCTGGTGGGTTTTTTTGTTTTTTTTTTATAAGTCACTGGATTTTGGCTAAAATTTCTAAGAAATAGTTCCTCCCCTTCAGGACCATTTTCCCAGACCCTTCGGAAGTGCAGAGTGGAAGTTGTGTGCCTCGGTGTAGGTAGCACATCGTGAGCAACTCAAGAAGCCTAACGGGCCTGTTGACATTGCCGTCTGGTGCGCTCTCTCCGGCACCCTTCTATGGAACTAACAGGAGTGGTGTGTAAATAGTCCCTGGTTTTAAAACCTGTGCTTTGTAAAAACAAGTCTGTGCGATCTAGCTCATATTCTGGAAGGGTTCTTTGTATTCCATTCTGCATTTGGTTGCAGAATGAATTACTAATATTTAGATTTATTATAAACAAATACAGTAATTAATCTGCAGAATATGATGCTTCGCTTTATAGGAAAAGGGGGTGTACTTTAACATTTACAGATTTTTAAAAGCTTTATTTCTTACCATATTATAAAAATCATTCATTTAAAAAATCATTATTTTCTGTTGTTAAAGGACCCTGAAATTCTGTAGTTTCCTCTAGTTCTTCTTTGAACTGTCGTAGAACACTCAAAAACAAAGTCAGCTCTGATCGGTGTAGCTCAGTTGGTTAGGTGTCATCCTGCAAAGAGAAAGGTCACCAGTTCAATTCCTGGTCAGGGCACATGCCTCAGTTGGGGCCCATAAGGCAGTGTATGAGAGGCAACTGATTGATGTTTTTCTCCCTCTTTTATCTCTCTCCCTCTCTCCTCTTCTTTCTAAAAAGAAATAGTCTTTTTTTAAAAAACTAGGAAATTGAGAGATTTCATAGTTTTGTCTAACTATCCACGAGACTCTTTGAGGTATGAAAACGGCCCCCCTCCGTGATTTGTGGCCATGCTGAACGGGTTTACCTCTGTGATTCGGGACAGACCTTGTCTCGATCATTTGTCTGTCTTGACCTGTTGATCGTTGCTCCTGGATTGAAATGCTCCATTCCTGAGTGAGTGATTCACTCATCTACCCAGCCAATAGAAGCAACTTTTGTTTTGTAAAAATATTTAATATTTTATTTTACCAAAATTTCTAAATAGCTTCCTCAGGGACAGGTAAATTTAAATGCTGAAGAGCAAGTTTTAAATGTTGGTTCACGATTGCACAGCCTTTTGTGTCTAGTTGTGTTCATCTTGGTTGCATATTTTATTCATAGCCTTCATTTAGTGGAGAGGCTTTTACTATTATTTTTTTACTACTAATATTTCTTTATAATAAAAATACATTTATTAAGGTAAATAATTGACAAGCTTCAGGGGGGCCAGCTCTGCAATACATCGTCTGTACACTGCACTGTGTGCTCACCACGCAGTTGGGTCTCCTCCCGCCACCCTGCCTGTGACCGTCACCCTCTTCCTCCTCTCCCTACCCCGCCGTAAGCACACACCGTTGTCAGTGTCCGGGAGTGTGTTGTTTTCGTTTACTTGTTGCTTTGTTTTACATCCCACATATGAGTAAAATCATATGGTTTTTGTCTTTCTCCGACTTATTTCACACAGCATACGTAACTCTCAAGGTCTATCCATATTGTCACATATGGCAGCATTTAGTCCTTCCTAACAGCAGTATGTTAGTGCCACCTCTTCTTGATCCAGCCACTCCTCGGAGAACACTGGTTGTCCCCATGTCTTGGCTATTGTGCATCGTGCTGCAAAAAACAGGGGTACATATACCTTTACAATAAATGTTTTCAAAATGTTCAGGCAGTTAGAAGAGGAATTGCCGGGTCCTACGGTAGCTCCAGTCTTAATATTTTGAGGGACTCCGTAAAGTTTTCCGTAGTGGCTGGAGCAGCGTACATTCCCAGCAGCGGTGTATGAGGGTTCCTTTTTCTCCACATCCTCTCTGTTATTTCTTGTCTTTTTTTAAAGATTTTATTTGCTTATTTTTGCACAGAGAGAAAGGAAGGCAGAGATACATCAGTGTGTGGTTGCCTCTCCTGCACTCCTGCTGGAGACCTGCCCCCCAACCCAGGCATGTGCCCTGACTGGGAATTGAACCAATGATCCTTTGGTTCGCGGGCTGGCACTCAGTCCACTGAGCCGCGCCAGCCAGGGCTATTTCTCATCTTATTGATAATAGGCATTCTAACAGGTGTGAGGTGGTAGGCCTCTCGTTGTGGTTTTGATGTGCAGTTCCCTTCTAGCTGGTGAAGTTGAGCATCTTTTCATGTGTCCGATGGCCGTCTTTGTCCTCCTTGTAAAAAGTGTCTGTTCAGGCTGTCTGCCCGTGTTTTAATTAGAGTTTGGTTTTTTACTTTTTTTGTTACTGAATTGTGTGAGTTTTTCATATAATTTGGATATTTGCCCCTTATCGTAGGTATCATTTGCAAATATCTCATCCCATTCAGTTGGTTGCCTTTCTGTTGATGGCTTCTTTTGCTGGGCATAAATAAACCTTTTAGCTTGATGCAGTCCCACTCATTCATGTTCGCTTTTATTTCCCTTGCCTTTGGGGTCAGGTTCACAAAACCTGAGGCCAAGGTCCGTAAGTTTAGTGCCTATGTTTTCTTCTTTGTATTTTATTGTTTTGGGTCTTATATCCAAGTTTTTAATTAATTTTTAGTTAATTTTTATGTTACAGTGTCAACAGTCTAGTTTCTCTGTATCGCTGGTGACTTTCCAACACCATTTATTAAAGAAGCTGTTCATTCTCCATTGTGTATTTTTGGCACCTTTGTCAGATTTGTTGCCCATATATGTATGGATTTATTTCTGGGCTCTTCATTCAATTCCATTGGTCTGGGTGTCAAAAGACCCCAAACAACCAAAGCAATCCTGACGGGGGAGGAAAAAAACCCAGAGGTATCATACATACTTCCTGGCTTCAGATTATTCTATAAAGCTACAATAATCAAAACACTGTGGTATTGGAAAAATAGACACACACAGCTAATGAAAATTACTTCTTTAGTTCCTTTTACACACTTAATGATATCTCAGCAGGGTTCATTGGAAGCAGATCACGCACGAGATAAAATTAGCGAACTGTTCATTCAGTGGTTATGTTTACCTTTTCCACCAAATATTCTATTAATGTTTCTCAACACTGGATGCAAAATAAAATTGTATGGAGAGTTTTTAGCTGGGCCTATTAATCCCCAGAGATTTCATTTTAATTAGTCTGGAGTTGGGCCTGGGCATTGTAGTTTTTTAAGCTCCCCAGGTGATTGTGATGAGCAGCCAGGAATGGAGAGCCACTGTGCTAAACGCTCTTTGTTCCTTAGGATGTTCCCGTAGTTTTTCTGATTTGCTGTTTTCAGATGTTTTGTTCTGCCCCTTCCCCCAAAGTCAGTCCTCAACTCTTCCCCACAGTGGGGAAGAGTGAGCACTAGTACAGTAAATTCCCCAATGAGCAGCAGTAATTTCAGTCCGTGGCTTTAAACTACCTCTTTCACCAGCCCTATGCACAAGACCACAAATGTACTCAAATAGATGAATCTGAATCTTTACCACCTTTGAATGTTCTTGATTTTGTTTGTTTTTGTTTTTGGCCCCCCGTTATCCAGATGGTTAGCACCTCAATTCAAGTATTTTTTGAGCACCTACTATAATGAAGGCACTTCGAGGTGAGCAAGGCGTTCATAATCTCATTGGGAAAGAAAGATTCAGGGGGCCTCAGTAATCTCTACCTTACGTTCTAATCCCTAGAACTGTCCGCGTTCTGATGAGTTAATGTATCTGCAGTGTATTGCGTGGTGCTTGCTACGTAAGCGGTTGATCTGTCCCTTCTTCTCTTTCAGGCATCCAGACGATCGACTCTACCCAGGCCCTGTTCCTTCCCATTGGAGCGTCTGTCTCTCTCCTAGTAATGTTCTTCTTCTTTGACTCAGTTCAAGTAGTTTTTACAATATGTACAGCAGGTAAATGAATTTTGCTGCTCTTAACACTAACCTGAAAGGAAACGTGTTCACCATTTTTTATCATCATTTAAAAATTAAGATTTATACATCATGCCATCTGTCAGGTTTTTCTTCTCAAGTCTGGCTTCTCCCCCCCTCACTCTCCTTGAACCACTGACACACATGCCAGCATAATCAGGGCCAGGACCAGGAGCTTGAGAGCGCAGGGGCTCTGCGACACCACCGTGGGGTCACCTCGGCGATAGGTCACCAAAGTCCAGTTGGGCAGAGTGGTCATCGGAAACCCTGCTGACGTTTCCACCGAGAGAAACATTGATAGCTAATGGAGATGACTTGACTGCCAGCTCTCCGCTTGGTTGGGAAGCTGAGCAGTGACGGCAGTGGGGACCACTGTGGACCCCGGGGACACACCGGGAGACAGTCCCTGGCCCGCTGCTCGTCTTTCCTCTGTGATCGAGGAGAACGAGGAAAACTGCCTATGACTCCTCCTCCAAATCCGTTTTCTAAAGAGGTTATCTGGGCAGTGCTAAAGGAAGGTGTTTTTCTTCTCTGGTTAATTGGGTGGCATTCACTTGTCAAGAAAAGTATTCTAGGAAATGATTGTTTGCTTAAGTCATGCCATTTTTTAAATAATGTTTAAAAAAGCCACAGCAACAAAATTTAACGATACGTTTTCTTTCTGTAGTTCTTGCAACGATAGCTTTTGCTTTTCTTCTTCTCCCGATGTGCCAGTATTTAACAAGACCCTGTTCACCTCAGAACAAGTAAGGACTTGGCGGTTTTCTCTAAATTATAAACTTGTATGTTTTTCTTTCACGCTTGTTAACATTATTGGGAGTCTAAACTTCCTGTTTTGACTGGAGCACAAAAAAATGCCAGAAAACTGGGAAATGAGATGTTTGATTTTTAAAACTGAAAGGTAGTATTTCCTTTTGTACCTTTTCATAGCAGATGAAATACAAACCAGTCTTAGGAAGTCAGAGTCATTGTATTTGCTTCCTACTTAGATTATTGAAAGAGGAGACGTTTCCTTTGAACGCAGGGCTTTTATTCCTTTACTAGTGAGTTAATAGGATATGAAAATAGTGGTTGCCTCGGGCATTGTTCACCTTTCATCTTTGGTAACCTGGCACGGAGACCGACCATTTAGGTGTAATCCCAGTATCCACGCCTCTCCTCCGAAAGCCGTCGCTCCGTGGACACCAGTCTGTTGCCACCTAGAGGCTGTGTGCACTTAGGAGGCCAGGCACTGGGGGCAGCTGATTTTCCCAGGAATTAGTGATGAGCAGGTGGATTTACTATCTTACAAGTATTTATTCTTTGCTAAATAAGTTGTTATTGATTTTCCTCAGTGTTTTCCTCATAAGAATAGGATTTCCCCTATACTTAGAATCTCCAAAGATTGATATTGTCACTTCAAACTTCTAAACACCTGTATGGATAATTTGGGATAAAAAATACATTATCACATGGGTTCAGAAATATAATTATCTGAGCCCTGTGTAGTTTACTGCGAAGAGGTTTGGGTTTTTTTTTTTTTTTTCAATAGCCGGGTACCTAGATGATTGCCTGCTGAACCAGGCCCTGAGTTAACTCAGTCTTGACGAGCCAGAGGAGAGTTTGCTTACCGAGTGAGGTGCATTGGCCGCTGGTCCACTGAGTGGCGTGTGTTTTCCAGGATCTCCTTCGGCTGCTGTGGGCGTTTCACTGCTGCGGAGCTGCTGTCGTTCTCTCTGTCTGTCATGCTCGTCCTCATCTGGGTTCTCACGGGCCACTGGCTCCTCATGGATGGTGAGTGAGCGCTGTGTGAATTCTAGTATCGTTTAAGTAGTTAAATTTCTCTGTCCTCCCTCCCCTCTCTCTGATTAGTCGTGCTGCTTCTGCTTACCATGAGGATTAGGTATCCAAAGATGGTGTTGTGTATCATTGAGTTTTTTATTATTTTCACTCACATTTTAAGATATTTTTTAATAAGAGCTTTTTTCAGATATAATTCACACGCCACATGCAACTTACCTACTTAAAGTGCACATCTCAGAGAGTGTCAGTGCGGTCACAGAGCTACACGACCACCCGGTGGGGTGCCCTTCTACCCCCGACCCTCGGACCCTCGTTAACACCCATCAGCAGTCACTTCCCGTTCCCCACCCAGGCCCAGTCGCCCATTAATCTACTTTCTGACTCTGAGTTTGCCTCTTCTGGATAATTCAAAACCAGGGATGTTCTGCTCAAATTGGATAGAATTTAACAAAAAGGACTTTAAACTTTTTCCTGCAAACCAGAATCAATAACATAGTCTTAACAAAGAAGAAATTTTAAACCCTAAGGAAAGCCAAAACTTTATCCTTCTATTTCAAGATATTATTTTTCTCATTAAGTTGCTTTAACCAGTGGAAGAATTTGAAATTTATATGCATCAAGATAGTGAAAAACTCTAAGAAGCTGCATCTTATAGGGAACAAACTGTAGAATGGATTGCGAGCTCTGTAAAGTTATATTTAAATTGGTTTCTTTTTTTTAAATCTTCACGCAAGGACATACTCATTGACCCCAGAGAGGGGAAGGGGTGGGGTGGAGAAAACCATCAAAACATCGATGTGAGAGAGAACGTCTATCGGTTGCCACTTATACATGCCCCGACCAGGGACCGAACCTGCAACTAGGCATGTGCCCTGACCGGGACTCTAACCTTTTAGTTTACAGAAGGAAATTCCAACCAAGCCACACCAGGCAAGGTGGTATATGTCATTTTAATTAAAGGTAATACATACAGAAAAAGCACTTAAAAACATATGAAATGTGATATACTTGTTTTTAAATCTATTTTTTGGTGGAGAATAAATGGAGAGGAGGGTGTGACCATAAGAAATGGCGCTGGGACCTTATGGGGGACCCAGCTTTTCCATGTGCTGAGGGTGGTGGCTCCACAAATCCGCCAGAATTCATACAACTGTACATTTAAAGAACAACTCTGTTTTACTGTTTGACAGTCTTAAAAATTTTAAACATACTCACAATTTTGAATATGTCATTTGTTATCATAGTTGTTGTTTAATGCTTTTTTTTTGAGTGCCTGCCATGTGCCAAGTATTCCAAATCAAAAGCGGTTCCTTGCGGCTGCAGATCTGGGTGTCCTTTAGATCACGTGCAGACCTCTAGCGGCTCAGAACGGGAAGCGGCGTCCAAGTCACCGGTGTCTGGACCCTGCAGTGGTTCACCTGTGCTGATCCTGAGCTTTGGTCTTATTTTGGCATCATACGTTGCCTTCTAAAAAAAACTGCGAACATTTGCTTCAGAACTTGAGTGTACACTGTATATATAAGTATTTTGAAGTACAGTGTTTAAAATTTTTAAGTGGCTGTACTGCTAAATTTTCTAAATCAAGCATCAGTGCTTTCAGTACTTATGAATTGGTGTTCGATACTTTAGTGCTTCTGGAGATTGATAAAAAGTTGAAAAAAGATGTTACATCTGAAGTCCCACAAGTTGCTCACCCAGCTTGTGGTGGAAGGGAAAGGCCTGTTTTATATATACTCACTATTGAGAATGATAAAGTGGCAGGAATGTGTACTTGACTTCTCCCGAGATTAACTTTTGGTTATTGCAGCAGAATGATCTGACTAAAAACACAGATATAAACCGGGCACACTTAACTCCACCTATGCCAGCGTTGTGTGAAGTGAGGCAGGGCGCTGCGTGTTTAGCTGGAGTAAATACGAAACACTGATCCCCAGGCCAGGACCATGTCGTCTCTGTGCTAGCGGACTCTGAGTCCATGCGAAGGCAGGTGATGCTTCAAGGACCGTGAGGGCTCTCAATCCCTGGTGTCCCGAGGTTCCCTGTAACCTACTGCCACCTGCGGTGGCTCTTCTTTCATGGAACGCTGTGTTCCTGTGTCCAGACACACGTGACTGTGTACAGGATTGGCTATGGGTTTTAAGTTTACCAAGCTGCTAGCCCAAAAAAGATCCAATATCTCTCAAAACAGCGAGCAGTCTGTTCTTTATACTCTTATCTCTACCCTGTCCAAGCATTTGCAGAAAAAAAACATTTACTAGTAGTGTGTCACTAAAAAAGAAAAGGTTGGCATGTGGGAGATGACATTGTGTTCAAGGTAAACTGATTCACAACAGCCATCTGAAATGTGTTTTAGAGCAAGGCAGCAGAATTTCCTCCATTATTCTTCTGCAGATAGGGGGTGGGAAGACACTAATTAGACTCACTGGAAGAGAAGTGGGAGAAGCAGCTCCCCGTAAGACACCCCATGGGCGTGTTCCGCTGTGGCATTCTTTACGTAGAGTCGCTAGAAAATTGGCAGTGAAGGACAAACTTTTCCCAGTGACCACTACATTGGGAATACATTCCCATTGTGAAATTCACCTTAGTGATTGAAATGCCCTTGACTGTTCAGTGAGGCTCCCATAAACCTTAACTGGTCCTAACTAGGAGACTTTTACCTCATTTTCTATTGTCATTGTGATTTCCCAGTGTTTATTTGTCCAAGAATAGCTTCTTCCTCCCAGTTTGCACTAGGTAAACAGACCTTGTGAACAAGCAGAGTCCTCCTTCAAACAAAGGAGAGAGCGGGCCTTCAGGCCTTTCACTGGTTGCCATGCTGGCTGGCGTGCGTTTGGCGTGTTTTCTGCTCTTACAAAGTGTGTGGCTTTCTGGCCGTGGTCGTGAATGTTCCGAATTCGTGCCTCTCCAGTGGAGAGCTCATCTTGCCTAAGTTCTCTGCAGAATTCAAAATCGTCTGGTAGTCAGGGACTTGGGGGTAGAAGGTTTTTTGAAGATGCGTGTTTCTTAATGAAAGCCTGTTCTTTGAAGTTAATTTAGCGTGTAGGCAATGTATGTGGTTGTTTTCGGGCTAGGTGTGAAGTATGTTTTCAGGCTTACAGCAAGAAACATTGATATTAAGGAGCTTCAGAGTTTTCTTGAACTAAATCTAGAGGCTTTTAAAATCTGTTCATCTGGTAAATTAATTAACCTTTTAAATTTGGGAAAGTTTTTCAGGGGTGTCCAACCTTTTGGCGGTCTGGGCCACACTGGAACAAGAGTTGTCTTGGGCCGCACATTAAATACATTGCGACATGTAATCACAAAAAAGTCTCAGTGTTTTAAGTAAGTTTATGATTTTGTGTTGGGCCACATTCGTAGCCATCCTGGGATGCATGCAGCCCATGGGCTGCGGGTTGGATACCCCTGCTTGAGAGGATTTGACTAATAGGTCATGTGCTGTATTAGGCTGAAAGCTGGTGAATCTTATGCATACTCATCTGATGTTCAAGGACCGTTCAACCAAGTTCAGAGTCGGCATTCCCTGACCGTTCGGGGGAATAGAAGAGTCTTAACATATGTCTAGCCCAGCCCTTCACTCTACAGCACTTGCTACTAAGCTATGATTAGAGAATGTTCAGTGCCAGAAATTGAGCAGTTGGTATTTTTGTTATAAAATTCTAGACTCTGGTGCTTAGTCCCATAGGGCTTAGCTATCTAGAGATCTTAGAAACAAGCAAAGACTTCACAGGTTATGTAACCCCTTTCAAGAACATTTAAGCTCAGTTTGGTGTCATTGTCTTTGTCCTTGGCCCTACTGGTTGTGGAAGACAAGGTAATACGGAGAGCATATCAATAATAAATTGAAAGTAACTACAGCTAAGTGGCTAAGATTAATAATTTACTTCCCTAACACTGTTGCTTAATTTGCATCTAACCAAAAGGTAAGATAGTTAATAAAGCTGTTAGAGTCTTGGCAGTCTCTCAAGCAGCACTGAGCATGGGAGAGTTACCATCTCCTTTCGTTTCTGGCTGAGAGAAGGTACAGTTTTGTTTTTTTTCAGAGTTACATGAATGAAAGAATGAAGAAGAAAGGAACCCTAGATGAATGAATAGTTGAGTGTTCTCAGGAATAAAACATAGCTTGTGGCAATATGCGTCCGGGACATTCATTCAACAGACTTACATTAAGAACCTTCTGAAGTGGCAAAGGCGTGTGTTCCGCCTCTTCAGATGCAGCCCTTCGAGTGCAGTGGGGAGACCTGGTTGCCATGACAGAGGTTACTGCTCAACTCAGACGGGGAGGAAATAGGCTGGAGAGTTGAGAACAAAGGGAGAGGAACAGAGGCCCAGCCTGTGTGGGGTCTGCCTGAGGGCGGGTGGCTTTATAACAGACTGGGTCCACCTCCGAGTAGGGAGCCCAGGGTGAGGCCGCAAGGGCCTTTCACACGGGCAGTGGAGAGGAGGTGGGGAAGCACGACCCAGGTTTTCAGTGACGGTTAAGAGGGGCACCCCAAAATGGCTGCAATTGAGTGTACATAATGAAAGAATGTGGTGAGCTGAAAATGAACCCAGGGTGTTTTGTTTGAAAGGTTAGGAATACCCCTGGCTGGTGCGGCTCAGTGGACTGAGTGCCGGCCAGCGAACAAAGGGGTCGCTGGTTCCATTCCCAGTCAGGGCACATGCCTGGGTTGCAGGCAGGTCCCCCGGTGTGCGGCATGGGAGAGGCGGCCACACATTGATGCTTCTCTCCCTCTCTTTCTCCCTCCCTTCTCCTCTCTAAAAATAAATAAAATCTTTAAAAAAAATAAACATAAAAGAAAGGAAGCTTAGGAATAGAATGGCACTGCCTAGGGGAGTGATTTTCAGCCAGTGTGCTGCAGCAGGCATGGCGATACACCACAAGAATTGGTAAAACGCACAATACCTGTTTAGTCAGGGGCACTGGCCCCTTTTCCCTTAGACTGTCAAACAAAAAAATGACAGCAGCCAACACAACAATAGCTTTCTGGTGTGAATGAATCAAAATTACACCTATTTTTTTGTCAGGTAGGCAAACTATATTTTTTGGTGTGCTGCAGAATTTTAGTAGTTGAGTGCCACGAGATGAAAAGGGTTGAAAATCACTGGCCTAGAGACAGAAAAGTCTGTCACTGAGCGGTTTGTTTTCCACTATTGGGTTCGACCCGGGTGTGTAGGTTGAGCATAAGATGGGTGATAAAAGCAGCGAGTGGATGCTCAGACCGTTAGACCTACGAAGGTTCCTGCTGGTGTCTGTTGATTGAACGGTAAATTGAACAGAAAAGTTCTGAGCTGGAGCAGTCACCTGCATGTGTTGGAGGCATATACTTTGCGCCTTGGGAGCCTGCCCTTCTGCTGGTCTGTCCAGTCCGCTCTCTGACCCCCACCGCCCGCCCGCCCACTTCCTGCCTGCCACCGCAGGCCTTCATTTCTTCCTGTTTTCCTTGATGCTCTGCGCTCTCCGTGTTCACTTGTGCGTTACTGAACAGGGCACCTCTTGCTACCCTACACCATCACCCAGCCAGTGTTTCTGCCCAGACACGTGTCTGACCTGCTCTCTGGCCATTAGTTCCCAGCCTCTGTCCCAGGGGCTTCGTGCCCACCACTGGCCAATGCTGCTCCTTACGCCAGCGGAGCTCCTGCCTGCCAGTGTCCGGACTGTGTTGAGAACACAGCCAAGCAGTTGTTCCTATGACGATTGTACCGGGAAGTCCATTACTGAGAACATGAGTGTGGGTTGGTTGTAGCCTTAACTTCCTGCCTTCAGCATGCTTCAGTCGTCCCTGTGCACCATGAAATGTTTCAGTCTCTGCAAAGCCTAATGGGCCCTGACTAGTTAACACAGTGATGCAGTTCATTATATTCATTTGAAATGATGGGGATTTGCATCTGTTTTACCAGTTTGGTTCTGTTTATATAAGTTTATTAAAAAATTCAAGGCAACCCCAGTAAAATGAGCACCCCAGATAATTGTCAAGTCAGGAGTCACATCTCCAGAGCACACGCTCCAGAGCTCCGCGAGCGCTTGATGACGGAGTCGGGGGGACAGAGAGAGGCTGTCCCATGGCTGCACTGCTGTCTTGCCAACCCTTCACTACTGTTGTAGGGTGGGAATTATTTTTCTCCTCTGTTTGAGTTCCTACAGTAGGAACTCCTACAGTAGGAACTCGTTAAATGTTAGTCGAATTGATGTATCCAGGTACCCAGGGCGTGCCAGACTGCTACACAGTCATATCCTCTGTTTTATCATGCTTTGCTTTACTGGGCTTCACAGATGATGCATTTTTTACAAATTGAAGGCAGGACCTCCCACCAGCAAAAGGAATGTAACTTCACTGCGGTACCCACTTCACTGTGGCGGTCTGCAACCAAACCCACAGCTCTTGGGGGTGCCTGTATCTACTCACTTTGTTACACACACTGGCGGGTCACCAGACCTGGTAAGATGGCAGACATCTGTAATACAGCTTTACTTGCTTTGCTTACTTTCAGGTTGAGAGAACATAATTTTTCATTTATTTAGCAAGTACTGTCTACTCTGTCAAGTGCTGGTAGGAGTCCACAGAAAAAATAAGCCATGGTTTCTGTGCACTAGGAACCAGAGGTTCAGGGAATAAGCTGCTTGTGTACAGACGATCACAGTGTTAGAGAACGGGTGCAGAGAAAACAACTTAAGCTGGTCAGGCTGGGGAAGGCTCCTAGCCTCTTTAAGGACGAGGATGAGCCTGACTGCTGTGGCTCCGTTGGTTGGGCGTCATTCTGCAAAGTGAAGGTCGCCAGTTCGATTGCTGGTCAAGGCACATGCCTGGGTTGCGGGGTCAGTCCCCAGTAGGGGAGCATCTGAGAGGCAACCGATTGATGTTTCTCTCCCTCTCTTTGTCCCTCCCTTCTCCTCTCTAATAAGCAAAATATTTATTAAAAAAAAGAATGAGGCCCTGGCTGGTGTAGCTCAGTGGATTGAGCACGGGCCTGGGAAGCAAAGGGTCACTGGTTCGACTCCCAGTCAGGGCACATGCCTGGGTTGCAGGCCATGTCCCCTGTAGGGGACACATGAGAGGGCTCCACGCATTGATATTTTTCTCTCACTCTTTCTTCTTCCCTTCTAATAAATAAAATATTTTTTTTAAAAAGGGGAGAGAGAATGAGGATGAATTGTTTAGGGAAGGCAGCCTAGGACAGGGCCGAAGTATGTACCGAGCAGAGTGATTATATCTGAGTGGCCTCAGAACAGAGCAGCCTTGCGGGGCAGGGAAGTTCCTCAAGGGCTTCACATTTTAGTTGTAAGGAGAGAAAATTGTTTAAAAGGAGTCATCGTGTCTCAGATTTTGAGAGGTACAAGAAAAACAATAAGGCAAGATGGAGAGGAATGAACTGCCGACCAGTGTCCCTGAGTAAATAAAAGGGCATGTGACAGAGGGTGCGTCAACAGTCAGGTAAGGAGCAAGGATGGCGCATCTGCAGTGACGAGGGGACCCAGAGGACTGAGGCCCGAGGCCCCGGCTGAGCCTGTCTGCAACTTGATCGGAATAGAAAATCTGGGTCTCACCCAGCCGAACACTGAGTAGTGTGGGAGAGGCATTTCCCCAAATGCCTGGAGGTCAGACCGGGCTCAGGTGGGCCCTTTGTACTGAGGGATGTAAAGGCTTAGACTGGAGCTCAGGCCTGGTTTTCGAGGGGACCTAACAACTGCGTTGGGGTTATGAGCTGCGTGGCTCGTGGAAAGGGGACGCCCCTGCACTGCACACTGACTGCCATCTCCTCCCCAGCGCTGGCCATGGGTCTCTGTGTCGCCATGATCGCCTTCGTCCGCCTGCCCAGCCTCAAGGTCTCCTGCCTGCTTCTCTCAGGGCTCCTGATCTACGATGTCTTTTGGGTAAGGTCTGCGGCCCTGAAGCCACTGCTCTCCTTCATGTTGAGCTGGGGTCTGAGTGGCTGGAGTCTGGCTGGTGGGGTGCCTCCCATCTGGGACCACCCGTCCAGCCCTGAGCTGGCGTGTGAGAGGGCGGTTGAGCCTTCGTGTCCGCAGATGTGTTACAGGGGAGATGTGTGTGACAGGCAGGGCGGAAGAGGGAGCGGGCAGGCAAAGTTCTCTGCCCTGGGAGCGAAGATTTTCTCCTCAAAGTGTGCAGCGTTCCGAGACCCCACTCTTCAGAGCAAGGAGAGCTGATGCCGAAATCACGTCGCCTCCAGCTCCCTCTGTTAAAGTTGACTCTCCACTCGGCAGGTGTTTTTCTCCGCCTACATCTTCAATAGCAACGTCATGGTGAAGGTGGCCACCCAGCCAGCTGACAATCCTCTCGATGTTCTTTCCCGGAAGCTCCACTTGGGGCCCAACGTCGGGCGTGATGTTCCTCGCCTGTCTCTGCCTGGAAAGCTGGTTTTCCCAAGGTAGGACTGACACATAGGGCCTCGGGACACTCTGCCTTCCTGTCCCTTGATTAACCTGTCTCTGTCATCGGCGGTTTAGTCCTAGACCAGACAGGGTTGTGAGTTGGCAGCTCAGTCTTACAAAGGAAAACATTGACTCGAGTCGCAAAGTTGGATCACTAAGTGATACAGGTGCTGCTTTTTATTGCTGATTAACATGATCAGGCATTACTACTGTTGACGTACTTTCACATTGGCTGGAGAGAATAGCAGGAAATTGTGGAGCTTTGTGCTTCTGAGGCATTTGGAAAAATATGTCCTAGTGCTTAAATTATACAGTTCCTCGTAATACAACCTTGGAAAAATTAATGTGCTGCTTTAATCTCTTATGTCTGGGGGTAGTTAGGTGCTTATTTGAAGTCTCAGCAGTGAGTGTGTGACACGCAGCAAATTGCTTGACCTTCCTGGAGGTGGCGCTGCTGAAGGTCACGTGCAGCCACCGCGAGTGCTCCCCCGGAGCATGGTGGGGCTGGGGCGGAGACCTCTGTTGCTAGCACTCTGTGGTTTTCGATCTCTGAGCTCTTAAAGACTTAGCGTTCAGCCAGTAGAGATTTCCGTCGACCATGCAGGTAAGTTCCTTGACGTCACAGAAAGTTGACAGACCTTGCCCAGGAGGAGGAGGAGGAGGAGGAGGAAGAAGGGATTGTAGAGCGCGGCCTGCCTGATCTGTGACGCTGCGTTCCAGCTCCACAGGCAGTCACTTCTCCATGCTGGGCATCGGAGACATCGTGATGCCCGGGCTTCTGTTGTGCTTTGTCCTCCGTTACGACAACTACAAAAAGCAGGCCACCGGCGACTCCTGCGGCGCCTCCGGACCCGCCAACATTTCCGGACGCATGCAGAAGGTCTCCTACTTCCACTGCACCCTCATTGGATACTTCGTAGGTAAGAGCGCCAGAACCTGTGTTTGGGCCCCTCTCCGGCTGTCCTCCACGCCCTGGGACTAAGTCAGGTCTCCCAGCGGCAGATGCTGGATGGAAGCAGTGACCGGTGGCTGTTGGCGGACAGCGGCCGCAAAGGAAACACTGCCCGAGCCCGTGAGAGGACAGGCGCTGTCTGCGCCGGCCGGCCGCGTTCTCTCTGTCCAAAGGACGCTGTAGTAAGAGTATGGTGGACCTCAAAGTCGAGAACACCTACCACAGGATGGTTGTGGGTCAGTCTGTATGCTCCGTTAACAGTCTTCAGCTTGAGTTGAATGGCTGTCGTGTATTTTCTTCATTTGTTCTGTCTCCTCGGACTCACCCAGGCTGTTTTTTCTCTAGCCAGCTCACTTACAGGCAGAGACGTTGCACTTGAGCCGGGAGTAGCAGCAACCTATTTGCAGCTACAGCGGGTGCAGTGGAGTGAGTGGGAAAGGGGCGCCTCGCTCAACATCAGCGCTTCCCCGATTTCGTAGCACTTTCATAGTCACGGGTTCATTTCAGTCCAGGGACTCTGGGGGGGGGTCCAGGCAAATGGTGGTATCCCCACCAGGTAGATGGGGCAGCCCCAAGAGGAGAAATGCCTTGACCAAGGCTACGTGGCTCCTGTAAGCATCAGAGCCGAACCTGAACCCAGGTCTCCTGCCTCCTCATTTAACATCACACATCGCATACGACAGCAGACAGAGGGAGACTGGACACACTCAGGGCCCAGGGGAGGGCTGGACCTGGGAACCAGAGCGCAGGGTAGGAGTTGGGCCAGGCACAGGTCCTTGGAATTCTGGAGATTTTGTTTTTGTCTTTTTTTAAATAAAGGCTTTTATTTGTTTATTTTTTTTGGGGGGTGGGGGAGGGAAACATCAATGTGTGGTTGCCTTTTGCACGTCCCCAGCAGGGGACCTGGCCCACAACCCAGGCATGTGCCCTGACTGGAAATTGTACTGGTGACCCTTTGGTTCGCGGGCCTGCACTCAATCCATTGAGCCACACCAGCCAGGGTTGTTTTTGTCCTTTTCTAAACTGTGCTGTTTCATGTTTAAATGTCCACTGCTGGGCATTTTATACCCTACCCATTGGATGGGCTCTGTCACATTAGATCTGTACAGTCTCGAGACTGCCGAGACAGGCATCCGGGCGGCAGCCGTGCCCTCCCTCGGAGCTGGCCCCTTGGAGTTACTCACGAACGCTTCTCTGCCCTTGTAGGTCTGCTCACGGCTACCGTGGCGTCTCGCATTCACCGAGCAGCCCAGCCGGCCCTTCTCTACTTGGTGCCATTTACCTTATTGCCACTCCTCACGATGGCTTATTTAAAGGTGAGAGAAGGGGTTAGAAACCTGTGAAAGCAATAACCTGGAGTTGATTGGGAACTTGGTATGTATTCTTGCTGGAGGTGGTTCTGAAGCCCCTGAGCTCTTGATCTTGAAGATGGGGTTTTGTTCTTTAGTTTTACTAACCTGATATTAGCATGCTCTTCAGATTCTTGCAGCCACTGGCAGAAAATGCTAATGAGTTAGACTACTACCCCACCTGCTTGTGGATAATTAACTGAAACCCCTAGAACCCAGCTGCAGAGACGCCCCGTTGCCACCTAAAGCTGCCTTAATCCCCTGCATGGAGGTTTGGAAACAGCAGTGGGCAGGAGCAGCCCGGGGCAGCGCGCCCACCTGGCCTTGCTCCAGGCAGCTGCTCTGCCAGGCAGGCTCGGCGCCGCAGGTGCTATAAGGAGCTGCTCGGCCAAGCGGCTTTCCAGAACTACCTGGCGCGTGAAGCCCGCCGCAGGTCGCTTCTACACGGGGGCCCTGCCAGTGCAGAGAACCAGACAGAGACTGTTGAGAAGCCGAGTGAGCGCAGGAGGTCTCTGGGGTCAGGGGAGCTGGTGAGCGCCGTTGTCTGTGTTCCCTCTTCGCCCCCGTAGGGTGGGCGGGGTGCTCGGGCCTGCCCGCAAGGTCTCTGCAGTGTGTTCCGGACGCGTCACCGGAGCCTGTTTCTGCCTGAACACGGGGAGTAGGTAGGACCAATGGGGCGCTACCACACACACCTGGCCTCCCCATCTGGCGCTGCTCCAGCTCAGTTGGCCACTTCCCCAACACGTCAGCCCCTGCTCGGCTCCTACTGACCCGCCGAAACCACCCTGCATGCACAGGCTGCACAGAGCATGCTTCAGCATAAAACCTCCCTCCCAGAGCAGAAGAGACGGCTGTTTGCTGTAGTTCACTGAAGCAAACACAGAAAATCAAGAGAATATTTCTCAAATGAAGGAATAAGAAAAATCCCCTGGGGTGGGGAGGTGTGGAAACAGAAGTAGTTAGTTGCCTTATGAAGTCAAAGAAATGGTCGCAAGGACCTTCACCAAACTTAAGTGTGGATGGAGTGGAAGAACGTAGGGAAAACATCAGTAAGAGAAAGAACCAACAACTGCGGTAACTGGGGGGGAGCACACATTAGGAGAGTCAACATCGGATTAGCTGACGCAGAAGAGCAGTCAGTGACCCAGAGAACAGAGTAGTAGAAGCCCACCAATCAGAACAGCAGAAAGAGAAAGGAGTTTAAGTGAACAAGAATAGTTCAGGGACCTCTGAGACAACATCAGGGGCTCAAATATAAGTGTATTATTAGGGATCCTAGAGAGAAAAGAGAAAGGGACAGAAACTTTATTTAAAGAACTAATGACTGAAAACTTGCCTAACCTGGGCGGGAAAACAGACATCCAGGAAGCATAGAGTTCCGAATACACTGAACCACAAAGGCCCACTGCAGTTAAAATGGCAAAGGCTACAGGGATGATCTTAAAGCAAGCAACAGAAAAACAAGGAACCAATAACCTACAATAATTTACCCAGCAAGATTATTCTGAATTGAAGGAGAGCTAAGAAGAGTTTCCCAGACAAGCAAAAAAACTACTGGACTTCATCACCATGAAACCAACTTTACAAGAAATGCTATAGAGTTGTCTGTAAGTAGAAAAGGAAAGGCAGTAACCAGAAGTACCAAGTAGGAGAAGGGGAGAAACCTCAGTGTTGCCAGATACTTAGTGAATACAGCCAGTCAGACAAAAGCTACTACACAGGTTAAAAAGTATTAAAACTAGCATAAGTAGTGTGGAGATACACAACACAGAAAGATCTAAAATGTGACATCAAGAACATACATAGCATGGAGAGGGGAGTAAAAATGCAGTCTTGATCTAATACTCTTGAACTTAAACACCTATCGGCCTAAACTGCATTGCTGTATACGAAGAAGGGTATGCATAAACCTCATGGTAACCAAAGACCTACAGAAGATGCACAGAGAACAAAGAGAAATGAACCTGAAAAAGCAAAACAATACAGCAAAACACAAGGGAAGAGAGGACAAAGTATAAAAGTCAACAAAATGGCAAGAAGTGCATACTTAATCAGTAAATATAAGTGGATTGAATGCTCCATTTGAAAGACACAGGGTGGCTGAATGGGTTTGGGAGGAAACCAAACATCTGTATGCTGCTTCCAGGAGACTCATTCCAGGTTGAAGGCGGACGGAAAGTGAAGGGTTAGAACAAGATGCTCCATGCAGATAGAAACTAAAAGAGCTGGAGTAGCAATGCTCAATATCAGACTAAATTGAGTTTGAAACAAAAAATGTGAGAAAAGACCAAGACATTCCATAACTAAGAAGTAATAAGTATAAATCTCTGCACCCAACACAGGCGCACCTAAACCTACAAAGCAATTATAATGGGCTCACGGGGAAGTTCACATTCATACATACAGCAGGGATTTTAAAAAGATTTCACTTCATTTTAGAGAGGGGAACAAGAGGAAGACAGCAACCCATACATCAACAGGTTGCCTCTCGCACGCCAATACCCGGGACACAGCCTACAACCCAGGCATGAACCCTGACTGGGTATCAAACCAGCAAACTTTCCATTTGCAGGACAACACCCAACCCACTGGGCCCCACCAGTTGGGGCTTTTGGGGGATTTTAATACCCCATTCACATCTATGGATAGATTGTTCAGACAGAAAATTAGTGATGAAATAATGACCTTAAATGTCATACTAGACAAGATTACTTAGTAGACATTTATAGAACGTTTCATCCAAAAACTGCACAAGACACTTTTTTACGGTGCTATAGAACATTCTCCAGACAGATGACACATTAGGCTACAAATCAAGCCTCAGGACAAGATGGAAATCATAGCAAGCATCTTTTCTGACCACAGTGGCCCAAAACAAGAAATCAACTACAGTGGGGGGGAATGAAAATAAAAACAGCTTTTCAAAATTTATGGATGCACCAAGAGCAGTTCTAAGAGGGAAGTTCATTACAATATACGTCTTCCTGAAGGAACCAGACAAAACAAAACCCCAGTGAGTATAAGAAAGGAAATAAGACCAGTGTGAAAATAAACAAAATAGAAATTAAAACACAGTAGAAAAGATCAATAAAACTAAGAGCTGGTCCTTTGAAAACAAATAGATAAATCTTTAGCCAAACCCATCAAGACAAAAAGAAGCAGGGTGGGTTCACACCAGAACCTAACTGTGCCGGCATCTAGGTTCCAGACTTCCAACCTCCAGAACTCAGAGGTAAACTGTTTATAAGCCAAAATTTAAAAAAGGAAGCTCAAATAAATCATAAATGAAAGAGAAGTTACAGCTAATACCATAGAACTAGAAAGAATCATTAAATAATACTATGAACAGTTATGCCAGCAGATGTGACAATCTAAAAGAAAGGGATAAATTTCCTCAAGTATATAATCTCCCAAGACTGAACCAGGAAGAAATACAAGCTCTGAACAGACTATGAAATATTAGCAATAAAATTGAAGCAGTAATTTAAAAAAATTAAACTCCCAATAAATAACAGTCTGGAACCAGAGGGCTTTAATAGGTGAATTGTACCAAACATTGAAGGAAAAAAATTAATAATTATTAAACTTGTTAAACTGTTTCAAAAAATTGAAGAGGAAGGGATGCTTATAAATTTGTTTTATAGGCCAGCATTACCCTGATACCAGAACCAGATAAAGACATTACCACACCCCCCCCCAAATAAAATGGCAGCTCATTATGCTCTGTAAACAGATACAAATGTTTTCAACAAAATATTAGAAACCAAATTCAGCAATACAGTAAAAGGATTGTACATTGTGACCAAGAGATTAATCGCAAGGATGGTTGAACATCCATAAATAAGGGGTAAAACCAGATGATCATCTCAATAGGTGCACCTGATAAAATTCAACATCCTTGGATGATAAAACTCTCAAGTGGGTAAAGAAGGAGCAGGATCTCTCTCAGTGTAATAAAGGCCATACAAACTTACAGCCAGCATCGTACTCAGTGGTGAAAAGTTGAAAGCCCTTCCTCTGAGTTCAGGAACAAGACGAGGACGCCCACCGTGACCTCTGTTCCACTGAGTGTTGAAAGCCCTGGCCACAGCCGTCAGACAAAGCAAAGAGACGAAAGGCATCCAGATTGGAAAGGAAGAAACAAAACTCGGTGTTTGCAGGTGACATGATACTGTGCATAGAAAACCCTAAAGACTCCCCCACTAAACTTGAACTGACAGATGACTTCATATGTTGTGGGGTGTGTACAGAAATTACTGCCCTTCGTACATCAGTACTGAACCGTGAGAAGAAAAGAGCAAAGAAAAATAAAAGGGAAAGACCTATTCTCTGAAACTGTAACACATGGAAGAAAAAAACTAAACGATACAAACAATGGAATAATACACTTTGCTTTTGGATGGGAAAGGTTAATATTGTTAAAAAGTTCTTACCACCTAAAGTAGCATACAGATCAGTGCAGTCCCTATTAAAATATCAAAGACATTCTTCTCACAATTAGAATTGATCTTGAAATTTATATGGAACCCAAAAAGACCCCCAAATAGCCAAAGAAATCTTGAGAAAGAACAAAGTGGGGGGGTATCATGCATCCTGATATCAAATTTTATTACAACGCTACAATAATCAAAACAGTATTGTACTGGCATTTAAGAAACACACCAGTGAAATGTAAAGATTGCAGAAATCCCTATTTATGTGGTCACTTAATCTGCAACAAAGGACACAAGGATATACAGTGGGGTACAGACAGTCTCTCTAAATAAGTGGTGAACTGGACAGATAAATGCAACAAAATGGAATTGGACCACTTTCTTACATCATACACAAAAATAAACTCAAAATGGATTAAAGACTTAAATGTTAGACCTGAAACCATAACGCTCCTAAAAGAAACATAAGGCAGTAAACTCTGACGTTGGTCTCAATATCTTTTTTTGATATATGTCCTTCAGCAAGAGGAACAAAAGAAAACAAATGGCACTGCATCAAACTAAACCGTCTTTGCACAGCAAAGGACACCAACAAAGTGAAAAGACAACCTACTGAGAGGGAGAAGATCGTCACCGATTATACACCCGATAAGGGGTTAATATTCCAAAATACATAATCTGTACGAGTCAAGCTCCTACCCACTTTTCAGTTGGATTGTTGAGTACACATTTCTCCCAGTGACACGCAGATGGCCGACAGATGTGCGGAAAGGCGCTCAGCACCACTGCCCATCAGGGAAGTGCAGATTCAAACCACAGTGAGGTAGTGCCTCACACTCGTCGGAATGGCTGTCGCCAATAAATACCAAGTGCTGGGAGGGTGTAGGGAAAAGGGAACCCTTGGAGTGCGCACTGTTGGTGCTGACGTAAATTAGCGCAACCGCTGCGCGAAACAGTACGGAGATGTCTCGGCAAATCAGAAGTAGAGCTGCCATAGTGTACAATTCCACTTGTGTGGGTTTATCTGAAAAAAACAGAAACGCTGATTCAAAAAGACGTATGCGCCACTGTGTTCGTTGCAGCAAGATGGGGAAGACACCTAGGTGTCCACTGATAAATGGATAGAGATGTATGTCAGTATATAGAAACCTGTGTAATAAAGGATTATTAAGCAATAAAAAAGAGCGAAATCTTGTTATATGCAACAATAAAGCTCAACCTAGAGGGTGTTAATGTTAATAAGTGAATTGAGACAAGGACAGATACCATGTAATCTCACTTATATTTGGAATCTAAAAAAACTAAAATTTGGAAATAGGAATGATAAAAATCTAAACTTAGAGCTTTCTCTTATCTACAAGATTTCTACTTTCAACTCCCATTTTACAAATTAGGGAACAGACACAGGAAGATCACCTTCCCTAGATCATCTGACTCCTGACCGTGGAACTTGTACCAGGATAGAGTCGGTAGAAGCCCTTCCCTGCTCAAGGGACCCAAGAGCTCTTGTTAGGACCTTAACAAAGTCTTGTGAGGTCCTTCGAGAACGGTGGGTTACGGTTCAGGGAGTAAAACTTGAGTGTCCTCTGATTTTCCACAGCAGCAGCCTGAGATCAAGAATCAGGCAAGACTTGCAGGTGTGTGCGTCTCGCGTTTAAACCTGTAACTTAGAAAAGTCCCTTCTCTCCCAGGGCGACCTGCGGCGGATGTGGTCGGAGCCCTTCCACTCCAAGTCCAGCAGCTCCCGGTTCCTGGAAGTATGATGGGCTGCGGAGTGCGACCGGAGTGGCCGTCTTAGTCCTTTTCTGTCAGCGCCTGGTTTTGTTTCCTCTTAGAGTTGGCCTGGTACTCGGAGACGTACCTGTTTAAGGAACTGACGAGTGACTGGATTTGCGTTTGCGGGGAGCTCGTTTGCAGGAGCGAGGTGCTGGAGCTCTGCTTGGACCCTTCTCTCCTGCCCTGGCAGAGGGGGAGCCCCTGCTGGAGGGACGGGCCCTCCCCAGCGCTCCTTCCTCCCCCGCATTTCTGGTCCTGCCCCAGACTGTTACCTGAGAGGGACGGGGACAGAGACGGGCCTGTTCAAACTGACAACGGCAAGGATCGCCCTATGCCTTTGGAACACTAAAAGGATGAAAAACGTTAGCAAGCCGAAGTTTCTTCAGTGAACCCTCAAGAACTTTGGGACCAGTTTCCTGTGGGGGACTCAGTTTCAGAGAAGCGAGACAGAAGCTCTTCTGTCGTTATAATCTTCTTTCCTTTTTTGGATTTATTAAATATTTTCTGTGGTGTGAAGTGACTTATTAAATCCACAGACATTGAGTGACTTCTTACAACATACACATAAGAATTGCTGTAAAGAGTTCGTGTCCACCCAGATGTTGTGTTGGCAGTGAACGAGGGCACGGTTTTTATACATCCACACACGCACATAGATATGTATGAATAAACAGAACCTAAAACCCGCTCAGATCATGCTGTGCAGCAGACAGGGCTTGCAGTAATCGTTAGCATGTAGCGCTGTTCCCTCGGGCTTCCTCGTGTACGGACCAGCTGCCGTCTCCCCTCCACAGCGAACATGCAGTTAGAAGCCAGTATCGTATCGTACTGATAGACTCACGGCCTCTAGGGGACTCCCATTCGGTTCCGATCAGTGTAGCAAATTAGGGATGAAAAGAGACACCTTCCTGGCCCGGTTCTTTTGTGTTCCCAGGCTTCTCCGCGCAGGGGGTTCTTAGTACTTCCTTCTCGAACTGATGCATGTACTATAGCAGCAGGCGTCTTCGTGCTTTCTGATCATAGTAATGTACTACTTGTAAATACATTTTTCTATTTTCTATTTTTTTGTATTTTTTTGGCATTTTTGTTTCATCGGTGTGCTGTATTTTCCATGCCCTCACTCCTTTAAGAAAAAAAAAAGGAAAAAACACAATCCTGTCCTTGCTCTTGTGATTATAATCTTGGTTTACCTGTGGTGACACCCGGGGACTGGGGACAAATGTCAAGTGCTCCTCCGAGATGCACCCTGCATTCCAGGAATTGTGGGAAGGGCAAGCTGCTCCGCGCCTGTAGGATCTGACCGTGTGCCGTGGTCTGTGCCGCAGAGCCAGTGCGCTGGGGGTGCCTGGTGGCAGGGGCGTCCGCTTGCCCTTGGGGGAGCAGCCCCAGCCTGGGGGGAAGCTGCCCGCTGCTCGGAGGCGGAGAGGTGCCTGGGTTGGCCCGCAGCCCAGCGGCAGAGGCTGCAGGAGGACCCGTGTCCTGGCTTCCCCCGACACCGGTGGCGCCCCTCTGCCGTGCGGTAAACCGGCGTGCTGCGGCTCCTGTCCCGGAAGGCACAGAGGGTGGAGCTCATGGCTGTGCACGGCGCGCCGTTGGGAGTGTCCAGCGAACAGGACTGTGTGCTCTTCAAACCTCTGTGTCTTCAAATCCTGCTGAGGGCTGTTCGTTTTTTTTTGTTGTTTGGTTGTTTTTGTTTTTTAATAAACGACTCCTTTCTAGACTTTGTCCCCTCATCTTCACTTTTGGCTGTTGGTATTGGAACTCCCGTCACCACCTGCCTGCTGTGTGCACCAGAAGACTGATGGGAAGACCCTGTCTGTCTCCAGCCGGGGCCACCTGCAGCTGTGGTTCAGTCCTAGAGATGCCGGGGAGCTGAAGCTTCTGCCGTCCACAGAACTGCAGGCAGCCTGTGGGTTTGCGGGGGACAGAAGCCCGCGCACGTGCTCCTGCCTCACCCCTCTGCTGCTTCCTTGGCCCTCCAGGGTGCAAATGGCCAATCGGGGCCTGGTGGGAGTCTTCCAACATGACTGATCGAAGGCAGGTGGTGGTAATGGTTAGCGGTATTATCCTGCAGGTGGTCATTTTAATTTTTCTAACTTCTCATCCAAAAACTAAATTTCCAGACAGAAGTAGTATAATTTTGTGTTATTCTCACTTCTGTTCAGATTTGGGAGCGCAGGGGGGCGGGCGCAGAGAATACTCACACTAAGGACTCCTAAATGTAATTAGGATTCAAGTTGCTGTCCTTGCTGCACAAGTTCAAAGTCCTTGAACTTGTGCAGGGGAACTGCAGACGTCCCCCTTTAAGTTAACTGCCGCCAGTTCCAGAAGTCGCACCCTTCTCTGTGGGTTGGGGCTGCGGTGGAAGTGCGTATCCTTACCTCTTCCCTCTCCACTCCCCTGCCTGATACTCCGTGTCCTCATCTTACTTTTCCTGGTTCCTCGGCTCCTCCAACATTGGGGTTTTCTAAGAAGGCTTTTGCATAGGAAAGGCGTGTTTACACACTTCCAGCATGGGCTCCCTCCCTCACTGGTCAGAGGTGATCCTGCCCCTAGAGTCACTGCATGTTGGAGCTCTTACTCCTGGTGACCTTCTTGCTAATCTGAGCTAATGAAGATACGACAGCAAAGTTCATCCAAAGCCAAGCCGGTTCCATTACGGTTACTACAGCTCGTGCCTTTTCTGGGTAAGAGCATCAGGGCTCCCAGGGTGGGAACAGCTCAGACTGGCAGGAGGAGGGCCTTGGGGAAGGGTAGGCTCCGTCCGAACTGCCTGCGGAGCCTGCCGGCACAGGCCTTAGTTACACAGGTAAGGACGTCAGCCACCAAAAGAGGAGGAAGAGGACTAAGCTGTGTGGGCGGAGGGAAGGGAGCTCTGTGTTGCCAATAAAGTTAAAAATAGAATCCGCTGTGTCTGCACAGCAGCTCATGTGGCTGCCAGCCACATGCAGTGTTGTGTGCGGACACTTGTGTTTCGGGAAGCCCAACACTGACATCACAGCCTCGGAGTGTCGCCGTTTCATGTCAACGTCAAGTGCGCGCGTCAGGAATGTCAGCCGTGCAGCCCTCCGTGGAGGCCGTGCAGGCAGTGCTGGTCTCCCAGCGCCGCTGGCCCCACCCCCTCCTCCCTGGGCCAAGTCACAGTTCTTTGGCAGTTCCCAGCAGGGGACTGTCTTCAATGGCTCCTAACAGGGTGGTGGGGAGGGGGTCTGTACCGCAGTGCTCCTGTCTGACGTGGAACTCGGGCCACTGCCCTCTGCTGCGGGGGACGAGCCAGGTAAGAGCTTTCCAGTCGAGAAACTTTCCGTGCAGTTGGTGGACTTCTTTCCGTTTGCATGATTGAACTCTTGACCTCCCACGTGTGTGGAGCCTCCCCCGGCACATGCGCCTTCCCCACTCCTTTTGAGCGTCAGCCAGAATTCGCTTCCTCCTCCACTTTTCCTGGGGCGTTCGAAACCCTTTCCCGTCCATTTCGGGTCCGTGGTCACCTTTCGGCCAAAGCTGTGTCGGGCCCCAGGTGCTCCCATCAACACGGCCAGCCGTCCTGACCCTGCTCCGGTGCTAACACGCGCACAACACTTGGGGAAAAGGTGGCAGTTGTCCCCACGTACCAGGTGACTGGGTGATGCCACGTTGAACTTCAGTTACCGGAGCTTTGTCCCCACCACCTGACCCAACTGTAAGCTCTCCAGCTGTGTCTCCGGAGAGCATGGTTCCCGGACCCTTGGTGCTGGGTCAGCCCGGTGCCCATGGAGGACACAGGCCAGCATTTATAGCCAAGTGCACACATGCCTACGTCACACAGACCGGAAGTCTTCTGCTGCTTAGAGCCTGGGGTTAGCAGGTGCTGTGCAGTGGCGGTCACATCAGTGTGCTACAGAGTCCGTAGTCGAGGTAGTACCAATTCATGTGGCAGGCACAGCCTCAGTTTAAGGTTCCTTTAATTTGGATCTTTCCTAGTCAGTTTCTTAAGTTCCAAAAAGTCTGCCCCCTGTTGGGTAGACCCCGTAAAACTTGCCAGCGGTTGGAGAGTGGACAGAGTCCAGAAGTGGAGGAGGTTGAGGGCTGGCTCCAGCCCACACAGAGCCCTGGGATTCTCAGGAGACCCAAGGCAACAAAGGAACAGGGACTAGACTTGAGGCTGGGGGTCGGGAAGTCTGCCAAGCTCTGGGCCGTGGCTGCAGCCTCGTGAGGAATGCGAGACAGGAAGTGGGTGTCCAGAGGGCAGCGAGGGGGCCACTTGCCAGCATTGTAGCCTCGGCATCGTGGGTGCCAGCCCCCCTGCCTTGGACGCAGCCTCATTGCTCATCAGCTTTCTAACGAGAGCTTGCTGGGCCTGCCTGCGTTCGCCAGGAGGCAACACGTGAGCCTAAGTTTCAGCCTTTGTGGTTGAAGTAGAAACTGGATTTCAAAAAGGAGGCTGGACAGACTCAGATGGAGAACAGGTCACAGTGGGACCGGTGGGTGGGGGAAGAGGGATTGAGCGAAAAGGAAAAGGACTCCTGGACGTGGACAACGGAGTGGTGACTGCTGGGAGCAGGGGGTGGGTATAAAGGGACCAACTGGTCATGGAGAAGAAGATAATAAAGATGATATGTTTTTTTTAAAGAGGCTGAGGCCTTGTTAGTACTGAGAGGGCCAGCCCTGACCTCCCAGGTGACAAAGCATCCCTGGGGTGAGTCACAGTCTTCCAGCTTGACCACGGGGACGGTGCTGCCCTCCCTGAGGCTGCAAGCACATCAGGCCCCAGCCCACCAGGACTCACCCCACGCATCCTGCCCTCCTTCCCCTGCCACCTCCCACAGCTCCGGCCCTTTGAACTGTCGTCACTCACACCCTCGAAGGCTGCGCCATTAGCTGTCACCTAGTGGTCCCCCTGCTGCAGTCTGGCTCTCACCATGGCCTCTGTGGTGTTTATCCACCAGCCCCTGCCTTGCTGATGTGACCTGCAGTTGAGAGTGGCCTGGGCCCGGGGCAGGAGAGCTGACGGGAATTGCTGCATTGGATGCAGAGGGCGAAGTGAGGTCGGCCCCAGGGCCCGTGGCCTGAACGATCGTCAGAACAGACCAAGAGAAGATGGACCGGTTCTGTTGCAGCCAACACCACAGAACTGAGCAGGGGTCTGAAGCCTGGGGAAACAGGGTGGTCTAGCATGAAGGTGTCGGGCAGCACTTACACCTCCTGTAGCCTCTTGTGACCTCGGCTTAGTGACAGAGCCCTTCTGAGCCTTAATTTCTTCCTCTGGAGCAGGATAGGGGTGCCTCATCTAAAGCATTGAGTGAGGGTTAGGTGCTGCCGACATCGCGTTGCCTGGTCTGCGCTTCCGGGTGCTCTGCACACTGCTTACCGGTCTCCATGGAGTCAGAGTTACAATAATCCAGCCCACGCAGATGTGCGCTCACTTGATCAGGTGACCAGAGGAGCTTCTGTAATACTTCCAGTTCATCCCTGACGGCCCTGGTTATCGTCTCCCCCCGCCCCCCAGCTCGGGACCGAAAGGAGGGCTGGCACATGAATCCCCATCCAGACTTTCAAAGCAGGTGGGTCTTCAGGCATAACAGGATCTTCACCATAAACCTCGGCCAGTCCAGGGTCTTGACGTTGTCCTCACACACTTGAAGGACTTGTACAAAGGGGAGTTGGCGGCTGAGCCTGTGCAGAGGTTCCCTACGTCTGCAAGTCCACCCCCACGGCCGCAGATCCTCAGGCAGGGACCCAGGCCCCCCGCCGGCCGTGCCTCACCCTGGTCATGTTCAAGGAGCCACCTCCCAGTGCCTGAGGGTCGTCCTGCAGCCAGTGAAGGGTCAGCTTGGGCCAGTGGAGACTGTTCACAACTGGGAGCGAGCAGAAGGCTCCCAGCAAAAGCCCTGACGCCCTCAGTACAGGACAGAGGCCCCGGAGGTGCCCTTGACGGTCACTCAGCCGGAGCAGGTTCCGCCTAATGGATCCTGAACAGCTCGCTCAGCGCCACATCCACCTCTAGCCCAGTTTCACAGACGGACAAGTGATGACATTTTCCCAAACGTTTGGTTTTCTTCCGTGATGAGCGCTATCCCTGCCCTCTTTCACTCCCACGTACCTGGGAGGCCTGCTGACAGTCACGGCCGCACCGCGCAGCGGCCCATTGGCCGTCTCGGCCTGCATCTCAACCTCCGGGTTTTTCTCGGGCACCGTTGGATCCAAAGACCCAATGGGCCAAACTCCCAGCCTAGGTTAAAATAAAGAGCAGGGTCGTTCTCGGCCTCCTGGCCCAGGTCAGCCCCCCAGACGAAAGAGGGACAGAAGGGGACAGGAGCCAGACGGGTGTGGGGGGTGTGGAGGGTAACGCAGGGGTGAGCATGGCGTCCTGAGGGTTCTCAGCTCTGGGTGGAGATGGAGAAGTCGGCACCCAGGTTATCGCTGATGAAGCAGACTGGTAATTGCTTGACGGCCCCACCCCAGATGAGCGGAGGGATGGTCTCATAGTTACTAGGAAGGACGGCCCTGGCCTTTGCCCAAGGCCCAGCCCTGCCCGGCCTTTTCTCTTGACAGCGTGGCTGAGAACTTGACCGCAGAGCTTAGCAAATTTGAGAACACCAAGCAGGGGGCAGGAGCGAGCAGCCAGGACCCAAAGGGAGCGCAGAGGGCTAGAACAGGAGGTCCGACTCAGGGAAGCTGGGTGGGAGCCTCCGCAGTGATGGCCGGACTCGGCACACCTCACAAAGGCACTGGCTGATACCA